AATTCATGGGTTTGTTCATAAACAATTAAAGGACACAATTAATGCATTAATTGTTTAATTGTGAATAATAATGAAGATCTGTTTATATCAGGTAGTTCAGATTAGACTATTAAGTTTTGGGTTAAGCAAAATGAATGGATCTGTTCATAAACAATCACCGATCATTAGACTCGTGTTTATTCATTAAGTTTAAATGAGTAATAAAATTAAGTTATTTCTTGTGGTAATGATAAATTTATATTAATCATTGAATATTCAGCATAAAATAGAAATTGATTGTAATTTAAAAAATTGATGTTAATTGTCATGGATATCGATTATGTTTTATCAACAATAATATGTTAACATTTAAACCTTAAGAGGGTAATATAATGCATGTTTATGAGATGAATAGTATAAATAAATAATTCACTAAAACTAAACATATTATTCTTAATTAAGGTAATGATGGTACTGTATTCTTTCCATAATAATACATTAAATCAAAATAGCTATTAATAAATAAACATGATAATTATATCAATATTATATCAATGACACAAAATGGACAAAATCTCCTTGAGTAATCTATTCAATTTGGAACACATCATATATTTGGGTCATTAAGTGATGATGGAGACTACTTGATAACTTGGGATAACTCATCACACGAAATATAAATTAGAAAATACACACAAAAATGATAGTTAATAAAATCTAATTACACCTCATTATCATTTATATCTCTTGTAGGAAGAAATAAATAATTTATTTGGAGTTGGCTTGGCAACATCCTAAACTCCAATTACTTTGACAAAAATGACAGCTACTTTTGTAGATTAAATCAACTTTGAATTTATCTCGGTTAATTCTTTAAAAAGATAGCAATCAGTAACACAACCAAACACAGAATTATTAGAATCAATGAGGATAATTTTGTAGTAGATCCCATACTAACCTTACCAATAAATACTGCATGCTATTTTGAATCAAATGCTAAAAGTTACAAATTATAAGGGTAACTTAATAATTTTCTGAAATAACATGAGGAATTTAAGGAAGTATTTCTAATATTTGATGATGAACTCGATAATTAAGTACATAGGGCAGCAGACAGAATCATAGCTGAAAATTTAGGCATAAACAATTTCATAAAGGGTTATGAATAATTTATATCTAATAGAAATCAAAATTCTATAAATAGTTAATTGTAAATGTATTTTGGAGTTTAATCAATCTCATCAATTAAAATTAGCATTACTAAGAATTTGATTAATAAAATTGAATTTATTTTTGCTCCACTCAAACATGAGGGGGAAACCTTAATTAAACTTAAAGATCAAACACTCTAAGTGTACTCTCTTTTGGGGGAAAATAACATTATTTATCCTGAAATAGATGAAGTTTCATTTTTCTTTTATAATCTGATCATAAACTTTAGAGATCATCATTTGGAGTCGTAAATTACCAATGATAATCAAATCCAAATTAATTTTAAGAGATAACCTGATTTAGAGTTTATATATGCATTTGTAGATATCACATTGATTGCCTAATACATCCATAAACTTGTATGTATTATTGATAAAGAAAATGAAATCAAAGCAATAAATATATAGCATACTGATGAAATAACAACTAATAACAAATATTCATTATATTCATTTGTAGATGATATGATAATATTTAATTATTGCAAGTACTATGAATTTATGTTTTCAAATTTCATATTGGATTATTTAAATAGAAAATAAATCAATTAAATATATAAGATAAATTAGAACATCACTTATTCTGGGCCACAAATACTTGAAACTAAATTAGATTTGACTTCTAGAGCAATATTCTCTGGCTTGAACTAAACCGATTAGGTAGAATTGCTATCAATAATTGATATGAATATGACAATTCACAATTAAGATAAAGCAAATCCATTAGAATTTAAAGAATTGATATTAATACCAAAAGTAGATGGTTTTTATATCAACTTATTCTACATCAAAAGTTTCCAACATCCAGCACTTGCCAAATATAATAATCAAAGATAAAGTCAATATTAAGTAGGAGATGAGGTCCACTTTTTGCTGCATCCAATCAACTCTTCACTTTCCCTAGATCAATAATTATAAAAATTGTAGGTAAAGTTGAGTTTAGGACAAATGGAACAAAAAAAATATAATCTTAGTCAACTATTATTTTAGACTTCTGATTTGGAGCATTTAATTGCAAATTGTTTATTTTTGAGTAATAATTTTGTGCTTGTAACAATCAAAAGTGACTCTCGATTGAAAATTAATATTTATTCTACTTCATCAATTACATTGTCTTAATAAAATTATTAATTTTCAAGGCAATTAAATTTTGAGTATTTGATTTCTACTGCTTAAGATTTAGAAAAGACTATACACGTTTCAGTAACACATGATGAAAAGACGGTAAAAGTGAAACTTGAAAAAGATGATCATACAACATATGGCAAAGGTCATAAGTAGTTGATGGAAATTCTATTGAAAGAGGCGAAGAGAAATAAGAAGGAAATTTATTAGTCAGTGGAATCTACAACTCATTCTTCGAAATTGTAAAGTGGAAACACAATAAACATGCTTAGTAATTAAGATATAGCTGTAGCTACAAGAGCAGGAGTACTGAGGAAAGATTATATTGAGTTTAGAGATTCAAATTGCAATTTAGTTGAATAATTTACTTGCGGGAAGGTTAGCTTTGTTCATTCGATATTCAATCAAATTCAATATGTGCCAGAGAAGGAAAGAGCAGAGGAAGGATTGAATTTGATTTGGATTCCTACTTTCAAAGGAATTTACCATTTGTTCATAGACAATGTGAAAATTGAGGGTCGTTTTATTATTCTTGCAAATGTGCCTGATTTAGAAATCTCAGTAATAGAAATATAAAGTAAATTTGAGGTGATACCATTTTGCGAGACAATATTAATCTAATTTTATTTGAAAGATAAATTTGAAAATTGCTATGGAGACACAGAAAATCAAATATATTCCGAATCAAATTGCGATATCAAGCAAGTATCAGGTAGTCAATCAATATCAAATTTGACTTTCTATAATCTAACAAAAGATGGTAATTTGAATGTTAATCTTACATTTGATCCTATTGATCTTTTCGTCTTTAATGATACTGCTGAAGTTGAATTTTTCATAAATAATTAATTAAAGACAAGTAATATATCTATTCACTATTCTTAGGTCAAATATGGAATCTCTCAGGTTTAGGGTTAAATAAAAGGATATAACGCTTTCAAGAAGTCATTAATTAAGTTTGGAAACCGACAAGTTATAACTTGAATATAAGTCGAGTAAATTTCTTGGAAGATCTATTAGAATTGGCTGAGAAGAAGCTCAACTATCAATTTAGCATCAAATTTTAGAATGAAGCAGGTATTGATGCTGGAGGGTTAAAGAGAGAGTTTTATGACATGATTGGAAATGTTCTCAAGGATGAAAAATTTAAATTCTTCTCCCCTGTTTCTTCGGATCAAAATAAATACTTTTTGCATCAGAAATTCAATAAACAAAAGAATAAGGAACGATATGCATTACTATTTGGAAAAGTAATTATTTCTAATAAATAAGTTAATTGCTAATTCAATATGCAATTCTTATCTCATAGGAATTGATATCATTGCCCCCTTCTGGAAGGTTGTATTTAATGAGAGAATTGTGTTTAATGACCTCAATCTTATTTGGGATTTGGATACCTACAATAATTATGAGAAATTGAAGACCATGAGCGAAGAAGAACTAAAGTCTGTTTGTCTTTTGTTCACATATTCTTCAGACAACACTGAAACAGAATTGATTGCCGAAGGATCTAAAATACATGTTACTTAGGAAAATTTAGAGTTATATCTTAATAAAACTGCAGAGTATGTGATCCATAAACAGTTTGACAAAATCTATAAATCTTTTATTGAAGGATTTTAATCTGTTTTAGACATATCAGTATCATATTGTGAATATCATCTATGCATTTGCTAAAAATGGTTGATGAATGCAGAGATGTTTCACTTTACTTAAGGGTTTTTAGAAATCAGTTCTGATGTTCTGCTTCAGAAATTCACCTTTAGTGGAGGAAAACCATAACATAAATCATACTTTGAGAACTATGTTAATTAAGCTGATACTGAGACATTGAAGAATATGTTGAAATTCATAACAGGTAATCAATATGATAATAGTCTAGGATCATCTTCTATTCCATTTGATCAAAGTTCTTACGTGATTAGTGTCAAATTTGATTTAGGACTCTCTGATCGAAAGCTGCCACTTAGTCACACTTGTTTCAAGTCCATAGAAGTGCCTCTTTATAAAAGCTTTGCTGAACTCAAATAGAAATTTGACATTGCATTTACTATTGGATGTGAAGGATACGGATTTGGTTGAAATCATTTTCATCTTAATCATGAATTAAATAAACAAATTATCATCACCTTCAAGAAAAAATGTCTTAATTCATTTTATTTTATTTATTCTTTACTAACATAAAGACTCGAATCGACTTTAATTGTACTCATATTCAATCTCTTAAGAGTATTTTAAGAACTTTTTACAATCCAGATTATGTGTAATTTACTAAAATAGTATTCACTCCTCCTATAGCTAATAAATCTAAACCTATTCTTTCTAAATTTAATAAACTAAGCATTGTTCTTAATCAAATTTGCCTTTAGAATCTTTAAGAATTAGCAATTTAAGCATGTTTTAATATTGTGAACTCTTCTTTACTCATCATTAATCATTATCGATACCATTAAGCAAGATCAAATATGCTGAAGCCAGTATGCTAGACCCATTTTATAAATATAACAAAATTAAAAAAATAAGCACCCCTATATTAGTTGATGAAGTTAA